CATGCCCATGCTTTTGGAAATGGTACATCAGCAACATGGTCTGTCAACCTAAGTGCTCGGGGTTTTTGTTTTTGTTTTTTGTCAGAAAAATGATTGGAGCCAGAAAAACTTGTTTTTGCATTTTAATGGCGATTCTCATAGGTAAACCGCTCTCTTGTTATTACTTATGTAAGATAATTGGTGCCATCCTTTGAGTTTTTAAGATTTTTATTTAGCAACTAACATTTAACGTTTTCATAGGACCTTATGATCCTATGAAAGGTAGAAATTTTAAGCAAGGAAGAGTGGGCATATTTACGCATTGGACCTTGGTTCTTACATTATCTTTGTATGTACTTGTAGAAATAACATTCTTCGAGATAGTTCATTGACCATGACTTCAATGATGTGAGAATTATATGAAAAGCGATTTTCATAGTCAATGATACTTATATTTAAACATAAAGTTTTTGTCCTTTTCACACATTGATATAATTTATTCTGATTAATGTATGAGACATACCAAGTAGCAAAAATTTTTGCTAATAAATTATTTTTTAAATACAATATTATTATAGAATCAGAAGTTGTTCGAACTAAAAGAATTTTAGAAAAATAAAAGGAATAATGCTTGATTATACTGACTTTAGATAAACAAAAACAGTAATATTTGTACATCTACCTACTACTACATATACTTAAACATACAATTCATAGTCAACTAAAACACCAAATTAATACTGAAAGCACTGCTAATCTTACGAATATTGCCAATCTTATTATTTTGATTGACAAAAGATCTTTTTTCTTTTGTCAATCATATAACTGGGAGAATTTTCCATTGCTTTTTCCACTTGTAAGTTTACTGGGTTTATCAAATAAAAATGTCTGGTCTTATTTTACCATGGAAATGTTTAGTAGACTTGATTTTAAGTACAAGTCATTGTAATCATTCAACCTTTTATTAAGTTATGCTTATTATTCTTCAGACCTTTGATCTTGATATGAGTTTTCTTTATTTTTTAAAATCCTGTCATTATTTCAAACTACCTTTCTCTATATTTAAAGAAAATTGGTAGGTGCATTATGGGTATCTTGTGAAGACTAAGTGTATAAATATTTATTAAGTATTATAAGAAAACAGCAAACAGTGAAGAAAGCACAGCCATGTGCATTTCTGTATTAACTAACTGTAACTGAAAGGAAATGAGCTTCCTATTTTAGGCCCAAATAACCTTATGTGTGGACAGTTTTAATAGCTGCCTCGCTGTCTTCCTGTCTCTAGTTCCTTTTCACTCCACTCTATTTCCCTGTGGGACTGCTCTTTATGACAATCCATACTGGGCCCCTGTCCAGCAATGAGCCCAGTGTTTCCCACTGTCAGAAAATAAAGTAATAAACATATAAAAATAAAACAATAAAAACTTTATATATTCCCAGACCTCCAAACTGGCTGTATCTAACCTTTCTGACATGATTTTCCTACATAAATCCACCGTGCCAACCTCATGATTCACGTAACCTCTCAATGCCTTCAGCTTTCCGACGAGGAGTATCTGGTTTATTCACTTATTGTCCAGTTGGGGATACTTTTGCCCTTCTGCTCCATGCTGAGCTACATTCTATCCTATCTGCATAAAATTTTTCCATCTCAGCCTGAAGAGAGAATGCAGTCTCTTGCAGTCACTGTTGCCCACACAGTTCACTCGGTCCATTGTGTATCACGTGAGATGTTTCTTTGATATTGTCTTGATTTACATTATCATTTAATTTTTCACAACTTCGTCTTCTCAAATTCTTCAAGGGCAGAGGCTATCTCTTACTCTATGTTATGCACAGAACTTTATAAATTGTAGATAAATCAGGTATTTGTTTATTTGACTTAGTTTATAAGGCTGAGTTTTCTCAGCTTAAGATTTATCATTATGTTTCTCTTTAACTCTTCTCCCTAAAATTTGCTGAGTATTTTCTCAAGTATTTTCATAACCATACGTTTTATTGTCCCATTATATTGTAAATATTTTGAGCCCAGATCTGTGTCTTCTACTTTGTGTCTGCTGTGAAGGTATCTCCTACTTCGTGAGAGTAGAACATAAATTAGGTTATTTTCTAACTCTCAGAGAATGGTCAATTGAGGTTCCAACTAAAGGACCAAGTTGTTGTTGCTGTAACAAAGTGAGTTAGAAGAGAGATAGTGATGCAGAGTGTCACCATAAATACAGATAATGGGCCTCAGGTTCTTTATCTCAAGGTATGTGAAATTTTCGTGAGGCAATTTGAAGCACTGGCCTATGAAGAAATTTCTTTGGAGACAAGTGCAGCTGTGTTACAGGGTGTACAGGACGCTCAAGTTTTCAGTGGGAAGCTACATTTCAACCTCAGAGTGAGATAGCTGCAAGGGTAGTATCAGAGTCATGTAAACTTAGGATGAGGAAAGAAACCATTAATTTAGAGTAGGCTCTCCATCTCTTTGTAGAATCTAAAGATGAAAGACTGTGGCTCATTCTAGAACAGCAGGAGAGAGAGAGAGAGAGAGAGAGAGAGAGAGAGAGAGAGAGAGAGGAGAGACAGAGAGGCAGAGAATGAGAGAGAGAAAGAGAGAGAGAGAGAGAGAGAGAGAGAGAGAGAGAGAGAGAGAGAGGAGAGAAGAGGGAATTGCCCTAAAATATAGGTCAAAGGTACATGAGTCTTGAGGTTCAAACCTGAAACACATTACAAAAGGAATATTAGTCAGTGGTCCAAGTAAAAGGAAAATTTTCTAGCAGGACCCATCAGAAGATGAGGGAATGCCAACAGAGAGAGAGTTGGTGAAGAAAGAGTAAAAGCCAGTAAAGCAGGGGCCCTGGGAGGAGGGAGGATGGAATGGGTGAGTGGCCAGCCAGGTCCCTGGAGGAAGTCTCAGCTGGAGGCTCCAAGAAGCTCAGAAATATCAACTTAAAAACCTTCCACGTTCAAAGGACGTGGAACATCGTCAGTCAGGCTGGAATTTTCTGAACCCCTTTCCTCTCTTTTGCACAAACTTTAGTTTTCTAGGATTTAGAACACTTAGCAGGTTGGAAGTGACAACTGCAGAGAGACAGAAATTGAGTGGCAGCCTTCTGAGTTTTCTCTCAGGACGGCTTAGGGTGGGCCTAGCGTATGCAGGGAGAGGAGTCATTTAACTCTAAATTGCACTGCTGTGTGTGTGTGTGTGTATGTGTGTGTGTGCGCGCGCGCGCGTGTGTGTGTCTCATTGGACATTTTAAATGCTATTAATTTTTTAAGATTTATCATGAATCTATTATCTAACATTAATCATAGAATTCATATAGTCTTCTGGAGATTTTATCTAGAGAGAAAAATCTTCATTCCATTAATTATGTTAACTATAGGATATGAGGAGAAAAATCAGTGTTTTATTTTGACTATAACTCATGAGTTGTTCAACATTCCTCTTAAGTATTTGATTGATTACTTTTGTCCTTAAAATTCTGTTGGGGCCAGGGCGATGGCTCAGTGGAATAAGCACTTCCCTTGCAAGTGCAAGGGCCTGAGCTAAATTCCCAGTTCAGCCAAAATAAATAAGTAAAATAAAATCCTGTACAATTTAAAATATCTTCTAATAAAATTTTAAACTCTTCATGAAGTCAGTTAAATGCAACTTGCATTTCAGTGGAACACTCCTTTGAAATTAAGCCTTATCTGTAATTTTATGTCAGTTCCCTCTAAGAATGATTAAGTAACAATTAGTTCAATTCATTTGTATCTCTGCTTATCAAATGTTTTACAACATGTACCCTTAGCACTGGTCAAGCACTATGGGGGACATTAAAGAAGATTACAGAACATTCCTTGTTGCTACAGAGCTTAGCCTGTTTTTGAATCAATAAAGGTTAATGAGAGTAACAAGTATTGGGCAATATCGGGACAACAGGATCCAAACAAGTGCCTAAATTTACACCACATACATGGTAGTGTAGGGCCAGCAAGATAGCTCAACTGACTAAGTGCTGTTTAGGTAAGTGCAGGCACTGGCATTTGATTCCCAGCACCTGGCCCCTGAGTGTGCTGAGCCTGCCATCGAGTCCAGGCATGGTGGCTCATGCCTGCAATTACAGTGCTGGGGAGGCTCAAAACAGAAGGATCACTATGAGTCTCAGCAGCGTAGTGGGACCCTGTACGAAATACACACACATACATACATACATACATACACACACATGCATATATACATACATAAATGGCTATGTAAGTCATTTATTAACATCGTATAAATGGCTCTGAAAATATACAATAAGAGTACTTTGGGCTTTAAATCAGACTAAATGCATTACAAAATATATTATGTTAGGAAGATCATCACTAATTCAAAAAATTAATTACCAAATGTAAAATATGAACAAGCACTAAGCAAGCATCAAATATACGCATGAATATGACAGATATTTTCTCTTCTGTTATGGAACTCACAATCTAAAGTGATTCTAGGCTATTAAGTTGCCCATTTAAATCTCTTGGTATATAAAATTATACAACTGATGGATTACCTACCTCATATTTTTTGAAATATGTATCTATTTTTGTACTGGAATTGTTTCGAGAGAACGCAATTGGGGCCTTTCATCCACTCTAGAATCCCTATATGGTAAGAAGTGCTGCAGTTCATATCTGGCAGATTTTAGGAGCTATGGAGACGCACAAGACGAAGACAACAGCACCCTTTTGAAATAAGGGTGAAATACCAGTATAAAGAATAACCAAGAAGAGTGTGCACAATTATGTAATCATTTGTACCTAGGACACTTAATGGAACATGTATGTTTGCCATGAGAGACTGAGCCATCTACTGGGATTAACACTATTTCTTAAGGATAAATCCAAAGTCTGCTGTGACTGCTCTTCTCTCCACATGTGAAATGATATAATTGATTTCAGTTTTCTTCCAGAAATATGTTCTATTAAAGTTCTCAACCTGAGCTAGCTCTGTAGTATTTATGATGTGAATATACATAATTTTAAACTTACTGTTCCTTATTTAACAGGAATTCACTGTGAAGAAGACATCAATGAATGTTCATCGAACCCCTGTCAAAATGGTGGCACTTGTGAGAACTTGCCTGGAAATTATACTTGCCATTGCCTGTTTGATAACCTTTCAAGAACATTTTATGAGGGACCAGACTGTTCTGATGTTCTCTTGGGCTGCACACATCAGCAATGTCTAAATAATGGAATTTGCATCCCTCATTTCCACAATGGCCAACATGGATTCAGCTGCCTGTGCCCATCGGGCTACACGGGGTCATTGTGTGAGGCTGCTACCACACTTTCCTTTGGGGGCAATAGCTTCCTGGGGGTCCCACATGGCTCACATACAGCCCAGAGCTCAGTTTGCAGCATCGCCTTCAGATTTCAGACCGTTCAGCCTACAGCACTTCTATTTTTTCAGGGCAACAGAGACTTGTTTGCAAAGCTGGAGTTGCTGAGGGGTTATATTCACTTATCTATGCAAGTCCGTAATCAGTCACGAGTGCTTCTCCACGTTTTCCATGATGCAAGCGACGGGCAGTGGCACTCAGTGGAAGTGGTATTTGCAGAGGCTGTGACCCTTTCCTTAACTGACAACTCTTGTAAAGAGAAATGCATCACAAGAGCTCCTTCTCCATTCGAAAGTAATAGATCGATATGTGCTTTTCAACACACTTTTTTGGGTGGTTTACCAGTGGAAATGACCAGAGATGATTTTGCGCTGCTTAACATCTATCATACAGCATCCACACCTTCATTTGTAGGCTGTCTCCAAGACATTGAATTTGATTCGAATCATATTAATCTGGAGAACATTTCATCTGGCCTGTCATTAAATGTCAAGGCAGGCTGCATGAGGAAAGATTGGTGTGAAAGTCAACCTTGTCACAATAGAGGACGCTGCATCAACTTGTGGCTTGGCTATCAGTGTGACTGCTACAGGCCCTATGCAGGCCCCAGCTGTCTGAGAGGTGAGAGGGAGGAGTACTCAGGAGGGCTGTGCCTCTGGGCAGATCAACATAGAGGCAGCCAGCCCGCTACTTCCTGTTATGCTACATCATGTCCTCTTGCAACCCCTGCTGCTGTTTGCCCAATAATGCGATGAGAGGAGAGGGAGGTGATGTGTATTCATTTTGAGTGAGTTCAAAGGACATCTGAGTTTTTTGTTTTGTTTTATTTTGTTTTTAATACAGGGTCTACAGGGTCTCACTACGTAGATCCGACTTGTAGTGATCTGCTTGTGTTCAGCCTCCCAAGTGCTGGGATTACAGGCGCGCACCACCATTCCCTGTCTCAATCACCTTCTCAGTGCCCCCTGGGGGTGGGGCCTGCACAGCATGTGGGGGAGCAAAACCCTGGCCCTATGTCTGCCTAAGCAGTCACTTTAATGCGCTGAGCTATTTGGCCAGCCCTGGACATCTGAGTTTGAATCAGACACAAGTTAAAAAATAAGCAAATAGCCCCAATCCAAATTGTTTTTCATCTTGGTGTGGACAAAATGCTTTTAGAAATTTCACCATGTGCTACGTATCAGAAATTCATCATAAATCTTATTTAAAAGAGAATCTTTTAGACAAAAAAGGCTTTTACAGACCAAATTCGTCAATGCCACATAAGAGGAAAGTATCTTATGCTTAGTATATTCTTAGTTAATATTCACTCCCTTGTTCTCCTTTCTATGCAACTAGTCCTGGATCCAAGATCACGTTTCAATATATATGTTTACAAACCACCAATTTTATTCAAAGGCGTCATCTGTAAGAGTGCCTTGAGAAAACAGATAGATATCTCAAGAAAAAAAAAGAAATTATGTGAAAAGTAATCACAGTGAAACTTGGTAAATGCCATAAATGAGTTGATCTGATTTCTCTGGAAAAATATTTTTTTTATTTTGGACATCATTCTGAAGATAGCTGTTGATAGTGATCAATGTATACCTGTATTATTATTAATAATAATTTATTATTTATTATTATTGTTATCATGCATTGAAAAACCTGAGAGGTTATTGTAATACACTGCTTTGAAGTTCAGCCCTAATTTACTCCAAGATTTCAGAAAAACTCCAAGTAGGACAACATCTGGTAAATAGTCTTTTCTGCTTTATATAAAGTAAAATTAAAACCAGTCTTAGCCCATACCCTATTCCATGTTCAAATGGCTAAGAATTATTAGAAACTATTCACGGGTTTCTCCCTGACCACAATATTCATTACAAATCATGGACCTGTTTGACAATGAGGTATGACAGCTCCTAGCTCTATGCAATATTTTAAGTGGAACGGCAAGTTGTTTTGTGATTTTTTTTTTTTTTTTTTCAGGAGAAAAGGGAGAATGATGCTGAGGCACTGGTTCACTTTTTGAAGAAAAGTTTAATTGACCCAAGGCAATATTTTTGCTACACATACAAAATAACAAACAGATGCTGACTCATTTTGACTGGCTTCCACATGCAGTGACCCATGAGGTTAATCCTGACCATGGTGATGCTAACTGTCCTAGTAAATGTATTCAGGAGATGCCAACCCAGTGTGTTCTGGTTTTCTTTAGCTTATTTTTGCCAACTTTGAAAATTATGAACTTTTTAAACCAAGTTCCTGAATTGGTTATACTTCCTTACTGCCCCCTGTACCCCATACACTAGTTGAAACTATTTAACTCCCATGAGAGTGGTTTTTAAGAAATTACATGGAAGGAGTTTGGTAAAATCTTCTCTTCCTGAAGTTTCTTCAGAAAAGTTTAACAGAAACTCTATTTTTCATATCACCTCTAGGTCATAAAACTAAAATATTCTGTATGGGCTATTATCTATGAAGAATGTTTTCTGGGAGTTTATTTCCACTATAAAACATGTCTTAGAGCAGTAATGAGAACTTGGAGTCTGCTGTTGCTGTACATGTATATTCAAGATGAAAGAGACATTACTAAAACACAGAAAGGGAAACTTTACCCAAATCATGATTTTGGCACCATTTTCTAGTCATAGTACTTGCTGCAAGGAACAAGTAGGACAGCTAAAAGGTTTAGTTAGCTGACTAAATACAAAAGACACAGAGATTTCCAATATCTTGACCTTGCTAAAATGATTTAAACTCTCAGGTAGGACAGTCCTGGGAAGGGTTTCCCTCAGCATTAGCCATACAACTGTCCACTAGGTTATCTCAGCATGACTATGTTGCTTGTATACAGAAATATGAAGGTTCTGGGGTGTATTTTTTTAATAAAATATTTTTTTTTTACTCTGGAAAAATATTTGATTTAGGAAAGCAATCTACATATGTTTCACCTGTTTTACACCTAGTCTTTGGAAATTTTATCATTTGATAACTATCATGTCACATGTATAGTAGAGGCTTTATTACGTGGCTGGAATGTTCACACTATTGGGCCTGCCTAGTATCGTGGCCTAAATCTTTGCTTAATCATCTTCATGAATGAAGAACTCACTCAATCTATCTTGGAAAAAGAATTCCAAACAAGTTTTCATTATATTTAAACAGAATATGATATGCACAAATCTCTCACTCATTTACTACATTTTAATTCTTGAAGATGTTCATAGAAATTTTAACATGTTTAAATGAGAATATATATGTATTTGAGAAAACAAATCTCACTCCATCTAAGCCATCACTTCTACTCGCTACACATCCCAGCTTCTTCTACTATTTCCACATGAGTCTTCAGACCCTTCCAAACCTGCTTGCTGACTTTAGAATAAATTTGCCTATCTGTCTTCTCTACACTATGGTTTCTACATGTACTTGATGCTACACAGTGGCATAGGGTCATAGCTTCTCTTACCCTATAAACTGTGCCTCTGTTACATTTATTTTTTCTGGCAGTCATGTTACATAGTTGCTTCACTCTGAGTCATTGTCCCTCATGATGTCACAGCATCCTGCCCTATGCCCATGAGGCCCACTTAGATCTAAATGCCTTTTATTTATTCTCATTAAATTTCATCTTATATTTCATCACCCATTAAAGCTTGCCAAAATAGTTTTTTTACTTTTTATGTTATTCATCTTTAGGACATATCAGTGACATGTATGAGAATCATTCCTTCCATGTCCACAGCAGAGTCATCTGCAGCTTCAGCTGTTCCTAAAATCGTGTAGCACATCACACATTCTGACTACCTGCTTGTGATTTCTGAAGAATAGGATTACTGGAGAGTCAGGCTGCCAAGGAAAAGAGGAAACAGCTCTGTGTTCTGTCCTTTAATGTGGAACCACAAAGTAATGCTGCAGGCATCGTGTGATGACCAGCAGGGTCTCTGCTCCCTGAGGCTGAGTGATCTTGTGCATATCCTCAACCCTCAAGGGTTTCAAGAGCCAAATTTTCTTAAGTGTTTTATCTCATATGAAAGCACTGCAGTGTATTCAGAGATGTTAACCTCTTCAAAGGGGCTATTTTATCTAACAGTAGACTTTGAAAACTACCTGTAGTTGCCTGGAGCAGGTGGTCTCTAAATGCAGATTCAAAATGCAATGTTCCTGTAGGAAATCAAGTTAGAGTTCTGAAAAATGAAGCTGTTTGACCAAGAGGTCTTCAAATATAGACTTGAAGCAAGTCTCACTATAGTTCAGCGAAACTAAAATATGTCAGACCTTTGTCCACACTTCAACTGGACCATACAATGATATTTAAATATACAAGAATATGCTTTATTTCTGGTTGTGACTGAGATGTGAAAACCTACAGGCAACAAGATCATTAGAACAGGGGCCAGCCAGATAGCTCAGCAGACTGAGGGACTGGCTTCAGCAAGTGTAGGCAAGCGCAGGGACTGTGGTTTGATCCCCAGCACCACATGCCACACCAGCCCCGCCCCCAGGGCCTCCTGAGCTGGCCACAGAGTCTGGGCATAACAGGAGGATCACTATGAGTCCAAGCTGCGTAGTGAGACCCTGTCACAACCAAATACATTTTAAAAAATCATTAAAACATGCTCTTGTCAAGTTCCTTGATGATCCCTGGATTGAAAAATCTAATGGTCATATCTCAGCACTCTCTTACTCCACATCTCAGGAACTGTTAACACAGTCCAATACTCCATCTTCCTGAAAACTCCTTCCTGTTTATGCTTATGAGTTGTCATGTCTCAGGGTTCTCCTCTGTTCCCACAAGAGGGCCTTGCATCATCTCCTCTGCTTCCAATGATATACTGTAATGGGATCAGTTCTTGTACCTCTTGTGTTCTCTCTGTCTCTACGTTAAGTTTCATAATCTTAGTCTTATCACTTTAAGTCTTTATACTCACTAAAATTTCCTAAATTATTAACCCAGAACATCTCTCCTGAACCTCTGTATCAACCACCCATTTTATGTATATCATATAAGGCATCTCAAATTAATATAAATACCCATTCGTGTTCAATCTGTCTCTTTATTTTTCTTTCCTATCTCTACAGATAGACCCCTCTTCAAGGTCTTTGGTTGTTTGAGTGAAAAAAAAATCTGGAAAATGAACTTATTCTAGAAAGCTCTATCAGAAATACCTTCAAACTATTTTGAAAATCTGTCTATGTCTCACCCTCTCCACACTACTGGTCCAAATTAGTTTTCTTTAGCAAAAACATTAGGTTTAATAATGTGTCTGCTTCATGTCTTTCAACTGGCATATACAACTGCTGAAAAAAATGTTTATGGATGTTGCATAAGTGCCCTTCCGCTAACATTTCTTCTGTCAGACTGCATCATCAGGTATCTGCAGTTTCACTATTTAAGCTCATCATGATTTGTCTCTTGAATTACTACAGCATCCCTACTTTCTTCAGGTTTTTGCAGAAATCTCATCTTCTGAGAGAGTTCTTCTCTGAACTCTTCTTTACACCTTTGAACTCCTAACCTTCCTATTTGTTTTTCTCCACCTAATTTATCTTATATCAAGTGCTTTCTTATCTCCTGATATATTATGGTGTGATTCTTTATCTGCATCTGGCGTTTCTCCTATTAACTGGAATACAGCATAAGCTTTCTAAGGATAGGAATTTTTTCACCTCTCAGGAACTCTTTTGAGATGGTGCTCATGGATCTCCTTGCCGCATCCGTCTCATTTTGACTCTTCTTAACACAGCAAAGGCTTTGTGAGTTCACCAGCCAGCTTTCTCCCCCTTTCCCTGTCTACAGGGTCTTTCCTACCCAACCAGGGCCACAAAAGGTCCTCTTCTTCATCCATCCAATGCCAAATCTTTTGTGTGAATTTCTTTAGAGGAGAAGAAACTTTTCTGGTTCTTTTCTTGATTTCTGTCCTTTAGCAAACACGTTAGGTTTAATAACATGTCTGCTTCGTGTCTTTCAACTGGCAAATACAATTGCTGAAAAAAATGTATATAGATGTTGCATAAGTGCCCTTCTGCTAACATTTCTTCTATCAGACTGCAGCATTAGGTGTCTGAAGTTTCATGATTTAAGCTCCAGTATTCTATGGCAGTGAAGGGGAAGTTCTTTAGTTCTCAGTGAAGAAATATTTTTATGCTTAATGAAACTCAACCATAAGGTATAAACCAAAGTAGAGTTATTTTTAAATGAAGTAAACTTAGGTCAAAAAATTAGTGAGTTTTTAAAATTATATAACTGCTATTATAGTGAGTCTTTCTTGAATTAAAAAAGTACATATGAATATATATGTGTGTGTATATCTGTGTGTGTGTGTGTGTGTGAATAGAATGTTCATGCTGTGTCTTTTTTACTTCTAAGTCTTAAGATGTTTCTTTATTTCTCCATTTCAACATGAAGAGTATGTGGCAGGCCGATTTGGCCAGGGTGGCTCCACTGGATACGCCATCTTTAGAGTTGATGAGAATCACGGACAGAACTTCAGCCTTTCCATGTTTGTGAGAACACTTCGGCCATCCGGCTTTCTTCTAGCTTTGGAAAACAATACTTATCACTACATTCGTGTCTGGCTGGAGCGTGGCAGACTAGCACTGCTGACTCCAGGATCTCCAAAATTGCTAGTAAAATTTGTTCTAAGTGACAGAAATGCCCACTTAATATCTTTAAAAATCAAGCCAAATAAAATCGAACTGTATCAGTCTGCACAAAAGCTGGGATTTATTTCTGCTCTTACATGGAAAATCCAAAAGGGAGATGTCCTCTACATTGGTGGCCTGCCTGATCGGCAACAGACTGAAATTAACGGTGGGTTTTTCAAAGGCTGCATCCAAGATATAAGATTAAACAACCAAAATCTGGAATTCTTCCCAAATTCAACAAGCAATGTACCCCACCATCCAATACTGGTCAATGTGGTCCAAGGTTGTCCCAGAGACAGTGCTTGCAAGGTAGGATTATTTATGCAACTGTGTACATTCTGCATGCTAAATTTTTATCTTATGAAATATATCATTTATTAAGACAATTTTTTTTATAAATAATGTCACAAAGATGTCACGGACCCATTGAGGGAAAAAAAAACAGTGTTTAATTTATCTGTTCGCAGATAGACAGGGATTTATGATGAAGCATAAAAATGACAGCTTTGCTCCAGCATCTTGGTGTATTTGACAAGCAAGATAACTCCAGGTGCATCCTTCTCCTACCCCCTCAGCCAACAAATTTCTTAAGAATAGTGTTTTATTTCCTAAACTCGAATGGCATCCCAAGGTTTAACTGAACTTTTTGGGGGGAAGGTCTTTTTATCTTAAATTCCCAGCTCCTATTGTTTTAAACTTTTGCTAAGTCAGAAAGACAAAAAGTATGACATGACATTTGAATTTGAAATCTCTGAAATATAATTTTCACGGTGCTTTTTTTTTTTTTTTTTACTTTCTTTTGCATCTTCTTTAAAGCAGTGCTTTAAATACATGAAACTGTCAGCACCGCAGGAGCTTTCAGAAGAAAAGAAGGGAACATTCTGTATGTGTTGAACATTTGTTGAGCTCCAAATATTGTTGTGCCCTACACTGGGCCTAAATATGCACAAATCAATCACCATCACATAGGAACATTTCTAATGTACCTGACACTACAAGTAATCCATTTAATTCTGCTGCAAGACCCTGTATAAAACTGGTACTATTAGGGGCCATGGAGATGGCTCAGTAGAATAAGCACTTCCCTGGCAAGCTCAAGGGTCTGAGTTCAATCCCTGGTTCCACAAAAAAAAAAAAAAAAAAGGTACTATTAGCACCCTTTGTTATTTATGGATAAAAGCCTTAACTTTAGAAAGGTATTGAGGCTGAGGTGTAGCTCAGCAGTAGAGAACGTGCTTAGCATGCATATGACCCTTGTCTCAGTCTAAGCACAAACAAAACCCCCAAATAACAGGTTTGCATAACTAGCTTACATCATATATTAACAGTAGAGCTGAAATAAATATACCTCAAGCTCTAAAAAATTATTTTTAGTATATTTTATCTTGAAAACTTTATAAAGGACCTTGGAAGAACTGAACTGATAGCAATAAGCCTCTGATTCACACACAAGGAACAGATCTCTAACACAAGAAATTTTTCTTGTGTTAGAGATCAGTTTAGCATATTTTTTTTTTTTTTTTTTTTTTTTTAGGAAAGGATCTACAGGGTGTTCAGGGTTTCACTACTAGATCCGACTCGTAGTGATCCGCCTG